AAGGAAGGAAGGAAGGAAGGAAGGAAGGAAGGAAAGAAGGAAGGAAGAAAGGAAAGGAAGGAAGGAAGGAAGGAAAGGAAGGAAAGGAAGGAAAGGAAGGAAGGAAGGAAAAGAGGAAGGAAGGAAGGAAAGAAGGAAGGAAAGGAAGGAAGGAAGGAAAGGAAGGAAGGAAGGAAGGAAGGAAGGAAGGAAGGAAGGAAGGAAGGAAGGAAAGAAAGAAGGAAGGAAGGAAAGGAAGGAAGGAAGGAAAGGAAGGAAAGGAAGGAAAGGAAGGAAGGAAGGAAAGGAAGGAAGGAAGGAAGGAAGGAAGGAAGGAAGGAAGGAAAGGAAGGAAGGAAGGAAGGAAGGAAAGGAAGGAAGAAAGGAAGGAAGGAAGGAAGGAAGGAAGGAAGGAAGGAAGGAAGGAAAGGAAGGAAGGAAGGAAGGAAAGGAAGGAGGGAAGGAAAGGAAGGAGGGAAGGAAGAGAGAGAGGAAGGAAGGAAGGAAGAAAAAGAGGAAGGAAGGAAAAGAGGAAGGAAGGAAGGAAAAGAGTAAGGAAGGAAGGAAGGAAAGGAAGGAAGGAAGAAGGAAGAAGGAAAGAAGGGAAGGAAAGGAAGGAAGAAAAAAATAAAGTTACCAGGAGAGAAAGTGGAGCCAAAGTGGGGGACACAAGTCTTCCCAAAGCAATGACTGAATCGATTTGCTTATGTTTTCAAAACTGGAAGGGGGATGGGAGTGGGGCGGGGGGGATTCAAAGCAACAGGAGCCACCGCTACAGCCTGGCAGCTGATAAGGCAAGGGAAATGAGGCTGGCACCAGGAGCCATGATGTGGCAGGGAATCAGGGAAACTATTTGTTGGCACCTTCAGGGCCGAGGGCAGGAGTTCCAGGCAAGAAGATTGTTTCATTTAGTCCTCATAACAACCCTGGGAAGTAGGTGCTATTATTAAGCCCACTTTACAGAGGCGGGAACTGAAGAGGACAGGAGTGAAATGACTTGCCCAGGGCCACAAGGTGAGAAAATATCTGAAATGAGATTCAAGTTTGGGTCTTCCTGACTCCAAGTTCAGCGCTCTCTCTCCTCCAGAATTTAGTATGAGCAGGGACTCACTGTCGACTAAGGAGTAGAAGTGAGTGATAATGATAATAGTCAAAATCAAGGAGGGAGTGTGGTGCAGTGCCTTGGGAATTAGAGTGTCACTCTAATAGGTGTCACTAGGTGACCTTGGGCAAGTCATTTAACTTCAGTTAAGCCCTCAGTTTCATCATCTGTAAAAATGAGTTGTTCCCTGAGCTCCCTTCCAGTTTGAAATCTATGATCCCATGAGATCCCAGGGATAGTAGGGAACTACTGGCACTAATCAGGGACCATAGAAACACAGAGGAGCGGCATGGTCAGATTTTTAGTTCAGGAAAATCACTTTGGCAACTACATAGAGGGTGGATTGGGGGAGAAATGTGAGTTAGGGAGACCCATTAGAAGACCACTACAATAGTTCAGTCATGATGTGATAGGGATTGGAATTAGAGCCATGGTCATGTGAGTGGAAAGAAGGGATCCGCCACTAGAGATGTCATGTGGGTATAACTGACAAGACTTGGCAACCATTTGGTTACCTGGAGTGAGGGAGAGTAAAGAATGGAAGATGGCTAAGAGGTTGCAAAGCTGGGTGATTCGAAGGATGATGATGATGGTTTTCTTTCCACTCACAGATTTCACCTAGTAGCAAAGCCCCCCCTGAATCAAGAGTTCCTTCGTGCTGTCAAGGCTCTGCCCCACAAATTCAACGCCTCCACTCACACCGACTACCATCGATTCATCGCCAATTATGGCACCCACTTTCTCAAGTCCGTGGAGCTGGGGGGCCGGGCCACAGACATCACTGCCCTTCGTACATGCAAGCTGGCTCTGGATGGGCTCAAGGCCAACGACGTGAGCACTTGCCTTTCAGTGGAGGCAGCCGTGAGTTTGGGTAACGCCATCGCCTCATCAGATGTCAAGAAGTGTGAGGAAGAGAAAAAAAAACACAACATCCAGGGCTCCTTCCACACCACCTACAGAGAACGCAAAGTGGAAGTGGAGGGAGGGAAATTCAATGAAGGCTCATCCGAGTTGCTCTTCTCAGATCAGGATGGGAAAGAGAAGTTCTCAGAATGGATGAACACTCTCCCCAGCAAGCCTGGACTGTTGGCCTACACCCTGGAACCCCTGCACTTCCTGCTGAAGTCTAAGAATCCCTGGAGGCAGGAGCTAAGACAGGCTGTGAGCCACTATGTGAACAGCAGAGCCCGGTGGCAGGACTGTAGCAAACCATGCCCTCCAGGGCAGAAGAAGAACCCCAGAGACCCGTGCCACTGTGTGTGCCAGGCATCAACCTTCACCAATGGTGACTGCTGCCCCAGGGAGAGGGGGCTGGCCCACGTGGAGGTGACCAGCATCAGTGCCAAGCACCTGTGGGGAGATTACTTCACAGCAACTGATGCCTACGTCAAGGCCTTCCTTGGAAACAAGGAGCTGAGGACGCCGGTGGTGTGGAACAACAACAACCCCATGTGGAACACAAAGCTGGACTTTGGGACTGTGCAGCTGATGACTGGGGGCCCCCTGAGGATGCAGGTGTGGGATGCAGACGAAGGCTGGAATGACGACCTCCTGGGCTCTTGTGACCGATTGCCAGAGGCAGGGGGATGGTGGGAGCACTGCTACTTCAGTCATGGCCACCTGAAGTTCCATTACCAAGTGACATGTGCCCCCCATCTCAAAGGGCGCAACTGTCTGCAGTATGCCCCTCGTGGAGCTCTTGGGGAGCCGGCAGGAAACCGAAGTGGAGCTGTATGGTAAAAGTCCCCAAAAGAGGGATAAATGGTGGGGAGGGGCTTGTTGTCAAGCCTTAATAGACTAAAAGGCTGTGTGGTACAATAGGAGAAGCTGTGAATTCAGAGTGAGAGACCTGGGTTCAAACTTTGCCTCTTCTCCTTACTACCTGAGTTACTTTGAACAAATCACTTCACCTCTTTGTGCCTCGGTTTCCTCCTTTTTAAAATGAGTGGGTTGGATCAGGTGACTTCTAAGGTCCTGTCTAGACTTGTATTTGGTATTCTACTTATTTAATAATCACAATCATCTATTTTAATATAAAACTTTCCTCCAACGAGGCCTCATCCAATCCTGACACTGGTAGGATAGTAACAGGGCTCTTCCTTGGAAAGAGCAGCAGAATAGACTCTAGCAGAATGGGTAATCCCCATTGGAAAGGACTGTCAATCAGCCCAGGGGGAGCCTGTGCTGAGCCCAGTACCCTGCACATTTGGGCTTGAAAACAGGATGGAGATCAAACTCGTATTCAGAGCCATGCCTAGGAATGTTTGTGCCCAGAGCAAGCAGCAAAAAGCATGACCTCGTTGGTTGGGGGAAGAAGGGCGCAGAATGGGGAGCAGGGGAGGGGAGGACTCACCCCAGTCCACTATCTAGTAGCTTCCTATTTTAGTGAGTTATTCTTGCCAATGCCCCAGTTGCCCTGCCCTAGTTCTAGCTGATATCTATTTGGCTCATTACTTTCTTGGCCATGGACAATTAATTAGCCACTCCATTGAATAAGTTCCTTAAGCACAAGGACTATTTTATTTTTGTCTCTGTGTACCCAACACCTGAAACAATGCCCAGCACACAGCTGGTGCTTAAAATGCTTTTTGACCTATTGATTGACTTGCCTGAACACACCCAAACAACACCATTGTCATGGTTTGCCCTTCATCTTCAAGAGACATTCAGCTCAATCAACATTTTTTTCTGCACCTACTATATGCACCAAAACAGTGCATGCTCTAAAGGAACTCAATGGCATTGAGAGGTCATATATGCAATCCTCCTGCCTCCATACCTAAACCATCTCAAGTGATTCAATATCAGAGATTACCAGCACCAGGAATGGCCTCCTAGACCATCTAATCCAAGGCATACCTGATGAAGAAAGCCCTCTACAACATTCCTGAAAATCGGGCATTCAACCCTTGCTTAAAGACCTCCAATGAGACAGTCGTGAGAATCTAAACAAGAGTGAACTAACTGCTTATATTCTCATATGGGGAGATGATCCATGTGTCCCTTCTAAACTCTATCATCATCAGGGGTCATAGAGGGAGTCCATGTAGACAGAAAGACTAGGAATGGTTCTGCTATGCCTCGATAAACTTATTAGGGGAAATCATCTTCCATAATCGAAGAGTGAAAAAGTAGAAGTTTATATAAACAAGGTGGGGGAGAGGCTGATACTTGAATCTCACTGTCATCTGAACTGATCAAAGGAGAAAAGATGGATATGTTTTCCTTATGTTAAACCATCCCTACATTCCCGGCATAAATCCCACTTGGTGCCCATGTATAATCTTTGTGCTATATGGTTGTAGTCCCCTGGCTAATATTTTATTTATAATTTTTGAATCTATATTCATTAATGAAATTGGTCTATAATTTTCTTTCTCTCTTTTTGCTCTTTCTGGTTTGGGTATCAGCACCGTATCTGTTTCATAAAGGGGATTACGTAGGTCTTTGCCTATTATTCCAAATAATTTAATACTGGAATTAGTTGATCTTTAAATATTCTGGAGAATTCACTTGTAAATCCATCTGGTCTGGATGCTTTTTTTTCTTAGGAAGTTCATTGATGGCCTGTTCAATTTCTTTTTCTAAAATAGGCTTATCTAGATATTTCATTTCCTCTTTTGTTAATCTGGGCATTCTATATTTTTGTAAATATTCTCCCATTTCACTTAAATTGTTGCATTTATTGGCACATAATTGGGCAAAATAACTCCTAATAATTGCTTTGATTTCATCTTCCTTAGTAATATATTCACCTTTTTCATTTTTGATACTAGAAATTTGGTTTTCTTCTCTTTTTTAAAAATTATATCAACCAATGGCTTGTTTATTTTATTGATTTTTTCATAAAACCAACTTCTAGTTTTATTTATTAATTCAATTATTTTGTACATACAATTTTATTAATCTCACCTTTAATTTTTAGGATTTCTAATTTGGTGTTAATTGGGGATTTTTAATTTGTTCTTTTTCTAGTTTTTTTTTAATTGCATATTCATTGGTCTGTTCTTTCTCCGTTTTATTGATGTAAGCATTTAGAGATATAAATTTTCCACTGATTACTGCTTTTTCTGTGTCCCATATTATCATTCTCTTTAATAATTTATTGTTTCTATGACTTGTTCTTTAACCCACTCATTCTTTAAGATTAGGTTATTTAGTCTCCAATTAATTTTTAATCTGTTTCCATGGTCCCTTATTAAATATAATTTTATTGCATTATCACCTGAAAAGGATACATTTAACATTTCTCCTTTTCTCCACTTAACTACAAAGTTTTTGTGCTCTATTATATTGCCAATTTTTGTAAAGGTACTGCTGAGAAAAAGGCATATTCCTTTCTATTCCCATTAAATTCTCTCCAGATATCTATTATCTCTAGCTTATCTAAGATTCTATTCATCTGCTTGATTTTTTTCTTACTTTTTTTTGGTTAGATATACCTAGTCCTGAGAGGGAAAGGTTGAAATCCCCCACTTTTATAGTTTTGCTATCTATTTCCACATGTAATTTATTTAACTTTTCCTCAAAAAACTTAGATGCTATAGCATTTGGTGCTTATAAGTTTAGTACTGATATTGCTTCATTATCTAGAGTGCCTTTTATCATAATGTAGTTTCCCTGTTTATCTCTTTTAATTAAATCTATTTTAGCTTTAACTGTGTCTGAGATCATGATTGCTAACCCTGCCCTTTTTGCATCAGCTGAAGCATAATAAATTCTACTCCAGCCCTTTATTTTTACTCTTTGTATATCTTTCATTTTTAAATGTGTTTCTTGTAAACAACATATTGTCAGATTATGGTTTTTAATGCATTCTGCTACCTGTTTCCATTTTATGAGTGAGTTCATTCCATTCACATTCAAAGTGATGATTACTAGCTGTGCATTTCCTCCATACAATTTTTCATCACTGTTTATCCTTTTCTCCCTCTCTTTTTACCCTACCCCTCCTCAAACGTCTAATTGACTTCTGACCACTGCTCCTCAATCTGCACCCCTTCTAAGAATCCCTCCCTTTTCCTCTCTTCCTTTAATTCTCAATTTGAATGTTCTCTCCTCCTTGAGTCTTTGTCTGATTCCTCCAGTTGTCAGTGCCTTCTAGGGAATTACTTTGGGTATAGTTTCTCAGGAGGCTAGGTTAGCCCCATAGCAAAAGTGTTAGATTTGGAGAGATCAGGAAGACGAGTTCAAATCCTGCTTCATTCACTTGCTAGCTGAATTCATTTGCTAACTAACTAGAGAAATGGACGCTTCCGTGAATATTCTGCAGAATGTTCTGCAAGCCTCTTTTGCCATGAATGGCGTTTCTAATTCAACAAATGTCTCCAGTTTCTCTCCTTCTCAAAGAATGTCAAGTTGGTACAACTGCTTTCCCCGTTTCTTGTCACTCCTAAAAGTGGCCTTGGAACAGAGCTAGGAAACGGACTTCCATGAAGTCCCACTGCTGGCTAGGTCAGTGCCTTTTGGGTTCTAAGAAGCTGGTCAAGGGCAGAGGGGAACTTCTGCAACTGAGGCTGCTCAGCGCTGAGAGGACTTAGGGGGGACGTGATTGTCGACTTCAAGCACAGAAGAAATCGTTACGTGGAAGAGAGATTGGACTTGCTCCCCTTGGCCTGGGAGAAGAGAATGGGAGACATGCATTCATTCAATGAGCATTTATGGCACTGTGGAAGGTGCCGTAGAGACCAGGACAAAAATAAGCAGCTCCTGACCTCAAGGAGCCCACTCTTTGAGAAATACCTGTATGCACACTTTAGTGCTTCAGCCCAGTGCTCCCACCCCCAAGGTCTGAACCAAAGGGTCACAACTGTTCCCTAAAGCATTCCTCTGCTTCCTCTTCATGCCAGGGAGGTGATTCCGGGTTGGCAAAGGCTCTGCCAGCAGAACTCCAACTACATCAGGTCCTACCAGCCTAGAAAGGCTTCAGATACATACTCAGCAATGGGTCAGGGGAAGGGAGAGGGTGGGAATCTGGTTGTGTCATGGGAGGACAAACCTAAGGGTAGAAAGGCTGATCCCCAGAAGACAGGGTCACAGAGGATGATCTGATTCAGCCACAGTCAGTCATGGAACTGTCACCTAAGGCATGCAGGGGATAGTGAGGAGTGCCCAGCCCAGTGAGGAAAAAAACGGATCCCAGTAACACCTAGAATGGCAGAGAAACAGCAGGACCTAGTCTAGTGGGCAGAGGGCTGGACCTAGGTTCAAGCAGCCTCTGACCCATACCAGCTTCATAGCCCTGGTATCTTCCAAATGCCCCCTGTCAAAGAAGACTCAGTTACAGGCAAGTTCCTGACCTGTATCTCTGGCGTTAGTTCTAGATCCCCACACCCTCTGAAATCACAAATCCAGGACAAAGAAGTAGAAATAACAACAACAACTATTGTTCTTATCGTGATTACTATGTGTGAGGTGCCACGCTAAGCACTTTACATTTATCTCCTTTGATCCTCACACCAGTCCTGGCAGGTAAATGCGACTATAATCTCCATTTTACAGATGAGGAAACCGAGGCAAACAACCAAGGTTAAAGTGACTTGCCCAGGGTCACACAATGAGGAAGTGTCTGAGGCTGGAATAATGATGATACACAGTACTTTCCAGACGTGATTTCATTTTTTGCCTCATCACAAATTGAGCCTCTGACACATACTGACTGTGCAGCCTTAAACAAGTCACTTAACCCCAACTTGCTAAGCTGCAGAACAGTCTCTGATGTGCCCTGGTTGGGGGAGGATTTCCTATTATACCAGTGAAATCACAGATCTTGTCCAAAAAACAAACCAAAAACTCAACCCTGTGAGGCTGTTATTATTACTTATTATTATCACTGTTTTACAGAAATCTTTCTCTACATATATTGCTTCGTTTGATTCTTACAACAACTCTAGGAAGTAGGTGTTATTATTATCCTTCTTTTACAAATGAGGAAAGTGAGGCACAGATACAAGAAGGGACTTGCCCAGGGTCACACAGCTAGTAAATATTAGTCCAGGGACTCCAACCCAGGGCTCTTAGTTCCAAATCCATCCTCCCCTGTCACAAGCTCCAGACAGTTTCTTTAAGAACACAAAAAAAATGTACACACACACACACACACACACACACACACACACACACACACCACACACACATCTCTCCCCGCCCCATTGAGAGTGGTTTCTTTCAAAGATTCTGGGTGGTGGTGGTTGCTGAGCTCTGGTCCGACTTCTTCTGAGGCTTCCTCTCTCATCAGACAGCCCAGTGGGACTCGGAGCCCTGTGGGGTTCCCACATGCTCTCTTTACTGAGGTTAGCCCGGATGATCACCGTGGCATCTTTGAAGCTCTTAGAGCACATGGTTACCCCTTCTTATACATCAGAGCCTCTGTGGCCACAACAAATCATTGGCCTCCCTGCCTCTGATCTCTCCCCTTTCCAATTCACCCTCACTAAGATACCGAATTCATATTCCTAAAATGGAGTTCTGTCACATCACTTCGGTACTCCAGAAGCTCTGTGGCCTCCCTCTTGCTTCCCCAAATATCCATTCCTCTGTTTGGTATTTAAAGCCCTTCCTAGTCTTGAGCCCACCAACCCTTCCAGGCTTACTGCACACAGCAGATTCCATCCCTATCTGCTGCTTCTTGTACATACGCACGGTGCACACACTCTTGGAATACATTCATTCTGTCGTCACCTCCTGCTCTTGGAATCCCTGGATTCATTGGCGCTCTAAAGCCCATGATCCTATGACTCTCCATCTGGATTGGGTTCAAACCCCTGCCCCCAAATGTTCTCCCCCCCCACCCCTTAATCTCATAGGAGTTAGCACTTGGAGGGTCCTCAGGGTCAAGTCTCTCTTATTCAATCGTCTCATTTTACCAAGAAGGGAAGCCATCTCTCACTTCTCCCTTCAAGCATTAACAGAATGTGAGCTTTGCCTTTCTGGAAACAAAGACTCTGGTTCCCCCAAGCACCCTGGATTGTAGGTGAAAGACCCCGGGGGATCGGCTCTGGAGACCAAAGTCTGCCTATCGGCCGGCTGAGTCCACCTATGGAGTTAGCTATGGTGGGGGAAGGGGACGGACCCTCAGGATCCTGTCCTGATTATAGTGCTTGGATTGGCAGGAGCAGGCAAGGAGGTTTTATGCGGACATCTGTCTCCTAATAGCAACTCATAACCCAGCCCTAATCTTCAAAGCAATTCTGGGATGCCCATCAGCTCTGGTAGGATCAGAGGAGCCAGGTGGGGTCAGCAGTTCAGCGCTGGAGGCCTGCTCCAGCGGCGGCAGGATCAATGCTGGAGCTACAAAAGCTCCATCTCAGCCAATTCCAGCTCAGAGACCCAGACTATACTCACAGTGAGAAGGAAAGGCCAATATATCCGTGCCTTAGCCTCTGTCCTGCAGGTAAATTCTCCTCCGTTTTACCCCCCAATGAGAACATGAGCCCTTTGACCTAGGTGGCACAAGACGTAGAGTGCTGGGCATACAGTTAGGAGGAAGACGAGTTCAAATCTGACCTCAGA